TCCCCCAAGTCCGTATCTCCATCAGTGCACCCAGGCTGCCCGGGCTCGAGTGGCTTCCCTTGCCTGCCCCTGGGACAAGCAAGGCTGGCAGTCCAGTATGCTACATGGTGCAGAAAAAGTCCCCCGCGCTGGCCAGGGTGTCAGAAGGCGGAGAGGGTCCTGCCCCACAAGTCTCCGACGTCCCCCGGGCGGGTGTAGGCACCTAGTTGGGCTCCATTTCTGGGGTTCCAGGATCCCTGGGTAAGGGGAGGAGTCCCATGAAGAGATTGTACACGACCCTCCAGGGCGAGGGTCGGTGTCGATGCTGCTCTTCTTGTCTCTGGGGAGAGAAAGAGGTGGGAATTAGCTTGGCCCGGCAGACACTGAGTGAGTGAGCAAAAGGTGTGGGTTCGAGATCGGTCCCCAGACTGAGTGCAACCCTGTGACTAGCCATCTTTCAGCCCCTCACTCACCAGGGCACACTCTCCCAGGATATGTGGGAAGGGGCAGGAGCAGAACCCCCACAGCATAGAGCCTAGCACAATCACCTTACAAATCACAAGGGCTCTAAGGGGTGGGCTGAAATGCAGCCCATTCAAGGTGAGAGATTGGCAGGGTGGCTCGCACTCCGAATCCTAGCACCCCTCACTAAATTTGTGCTAGTACACAGGCTCCTATCTGGAAAAACCAAACCAACCAACCAAACAAAAGGCTGTTGGGATATGGGAGGGAGCACGAAATGGCCCCGCAGCCTTAGCAATTCTCAGAGAGCTCTCAGAGGAGAGCTGAGAACAGCATGCCACCGTCCCAGCAAGGCTGAGAGAAGGTGTCTCTTGGCAATGCTGGCTTCAGGAAAACCTTGTTCTCTCCCCGGTGGCAGAGAAAAAGTGTGATTTAGCATCTAGATTCCCTCTGTGATGGCACAGGCCTGTAATCCTAGTGGCTCAGGAGGCTGAGGCAGGAAGACAGAAAGTTCAAAGCCTGCCTGGGCTACAGAGTGAGTTCAAAGCCAGTGTGAACAAGTTATTAAGAGCCAACTTAAAGAAGAGAAGAGAAAAGGAAAAGAAAAGAAAGAAATCTGGGCGTGGTAGCTTACATCCTTAATCCTAGAATTTGGGAGGCAGAGGCAGGGCTAGCTAGCATGGTGATCTACAGAGTGAGTTCTAGGACAGCCAGTGTTGAAAGAAAGAAATGAAGAAAGAAAGAGAGAGAGAGAGAGAGAGAGAGAGAGAGAGAGAGGAGAAAAGGGGAGAAGGGGCTTTTATTTGGTCCCTCCACTGGTTACATGGCCAAGCAGATTTACCCAGCTCACCCTCTTGGTTGTGAAGAAGAATGCAATCCACTTCAAAGCTGTCAGGCTAATGACCCCATCGAAGTACATGCCCAGAGCTAGCCCAGGCCTCCTGAGCCCTCCTCCTCCTCCTTGCAGCTGGGCGAGGTGGTGGATGCCACCCTGTGAGCTCACTATCATTATACTTAGTCAGCGTATTAGGGGGAGCACAGAGCCCTGGGTGTTCACTCTGGAGACAACAGCATATGGGTTAAGCCAGAGATGGGCCTCTCTTACAAAAGAGGGAAAAAGAATAATGCTAGACAATGTCTCCTGCTAAGCTACACCTTTTGTCACTCACTGGTGGCTTCCAGGCAGGTGCTAAAAAGGAAAAAAAAAAAAAAAAAAGCCCCGCTGAGGGGGAACCTTTAACCCAGCACTTGGTTGGGGGTAGTGGGGAAGTGGGGGAAGGGGAAAACCTCTGAGCTCCAGGACAGCCAGGATTACACAGAGTAAACCCTGTCTTGCACAACCAAAAGAAAAAATAGAGAAAGAAAATCTTTTTGCAGCCCATCTCATGTAGCTCAGGCTGTCCTGGAACTGAAAATGTATGTGAGGGTGACCTTGACCCTCAGATCTTAAGGCTCGGCGTCCCTCCTAGGCAAGCGCTCCACCGATGGAGGCACATCAGCCTCCCCTAAACTTTAAAAAACCAAAAACCCAGATAAAACTAAAAAACTATTTGACTGTGTATGTGCTGGCAGATACCAGAGGGAGTTGGATCCCTGGAACTGGAGTTACAGGCAGTCGTCACCTGGGAATCTGGCTCTGGTTTTCTGCAAGAGTTCTCTTAACTACTAAGCCCCCTTTAACGTGTGTGTGTGTGTGTGTGTGTGTGTGTGTGTGTGTGTGTGTGTGAGAGAGAGAGAGAGAGAGAGAGAGACTTGTGTGTGCAGCACATGTGGAAGTTAGCACTATGTGAGATTAGACGCTGTCTTTTACTATGAGGGGTCCTGGGGATCGAACTCAGTTCATCCGTTTTGGTAGCAAGCACCGTTATCCTCCGAGCCACCTCAAAGGCTCTTTATTTCTGAAGCAGAGTATCACTCACTAGTTTGCCCAGGCTGGCTTTGAACTTTCTCCCTTCCTGAGTAGGTGGGATTACAGGAAGCAGCCACCAGGCCACGCTACTTGGCTATGCCTCCGGGATGTGCTCAGTGGTAACCAATGGAGGGGGGGATGGAAGACTTTGGAAAGCCATAGTTAGAAGGGCGCCAGAGCCAGGATGGGAGCTAAAAACAACGCCCCTGGCTGTGCACGTAAGCGGGTGCAAAAAAAAACACCTGCTGGGAGTGAGTCGCGGCTGGGAGGATGTCCCTTTTACAAAAGGTAGGGGACAGGGCCGGGGAGCAGAGGATCTGTACGACGTCAGTGGGGTCTCTCTCTCTCTCTCTCTCTCTC